AAGGAAGAATCCTCTGAGAACAGTAAGTAATTTAAAGATGCCAGGAATAAAACAAGGACACCATTTTAAAATTTCAAAGTAACAGTATCTATTGAGTTTGGAATGCAGTTTCTGTGATATAAAAATACCAGCCATGTATTTTTTCAATAGGGTGGTTTTCCATGTAACCATGTTTAAAGGGAGAATGTAAGTAATTTAAAGATGCCAGGAATAAAACAAGGACACCATTTTAAAATTTCAAAGTAACAGTATCTATTGAGTTTGGAATGCAGTTTCTGTGATACAAAAATACCAGCCATGTATTTTTTCAATAGGGTGGTTTTCCATGTAACCATGTTTAAAGGGAGAATGTATTTGGCATTTAATGAGAAATTTGCTATTCTCCAAATCCTTATGTATTTAAATTGAAAATAGCCATGTGAATAGGGATGGTGGGAATTCTGGCAAAACTGGGTTAAGGAAGGAATAAACACTATGGAAGAAAACCTGATCTGATGAAATCCCAGATGCTAGAAGGACAACTCTTTTATTGTTCTACTGCTTTTAGCCCCTGCAGAATTTTTTTCTCTCTTCCATTTGCTGTGACTTATTTATACAACATTCTTCCTCTGCCTCTTTTACTATTTTCCTTGCTCATCTTGTAACTTGACATTTTGGTTCTTAGAAGCAGGGTGGAGTGTACAAAAGGAGAGAAGATGCTGTACAATGGTTGGCCACAGAATTTCCTTTTCAGGTAAAGCTTACCTTCATGCTTAAATATATTAATGTATCAATTACACTTGCTCCAAGGGGGGAGGGGGAATAAGTGAAATCTCCAGAGCAATACTTCTGGAGATTTCACTTATTGGGGCCCCCATGGAGCAAGAGTAATTGATTCCCATGGGGTGGGAAATACGATTTCTAATTTTAATGTGGGGATATCCCTGAGCAGTAATCATTTTCCTCTAACCCTGCATCTAGTTTTAAAAGGAAGATACCCAAATACAAAAAATGTTACTACCAAGAACTCCCATCAAATTATATTCATGTAAAATGGACAAAGGAGATGGACAGAACAATACAGCTTGTATATAAATCTGGTGTAATGTTCATAGATACATAAATACATAAATAATGTTTATGTATTTCCTTAGTTAATGAAACCTCCCCACAAAGGATCTATTATTTATTTATTTAGCAAATTTATATAGCTGCCCATCTTACAAAATGTGACTCTGGGCGGTGTACAATACATAAAAACAGTAAAAAACTGTAAACACTCAAACATAAATAAACCAGAAAAATAGAAAACATAAAAACCCAAGATAGTGAGAGAACAACCATCACTTGACATCACACAACCACCATCTACAATTTGTACAATAGCCTAATTGCTATATTCAAAGATGTACTAGCGAGTAAAACTAAACGGGGAATAAGTAAAAGAAGATCCCAACACTGGTTTGATGAGGAATGTTAAAAGCTAAGCACTCCCTAATTTTAATGTTTTAAATTACATAAGAGTAAAGGCTGTCCACAATTCCTGGTCTCTCTTCAGGAGCAAAAAAGGGAGTATAAAACCCTACTGAAAAAGGAAAAAAAGAGATGCACAGAAAGCTCTCTGGGAAAAATTGAAGAACCAAGCCTCCAAGTTCAGTGATAATACCACATTTTGGTATTTCATGTACATGAGAGAAACTGGCCGTACATTAGAGGTTCCAATTACAGTTTCCATGTGGGAGGTTTAGGCACTGCACGCAAAAAAACTTTTCTCAAACTACTTCAAATACCAAATCAAACTCTACCACTTTTATCAGAACAAAATGTACTTAAGATGTAATCATATTAGAGGTTATTCATACTTCTATTTTATTTGGACTATTTGTTTCTAAAGGTTGGAGCAAAACTTCAGAACTTCATTCAGCTTTTGCCTGAAGAATCTGTCCTGAAACTGAAGAGCACCAAGCTTCTTGATTAAGTATAATGCTCCTGTGAAAGAAAACGATATCTGCATAAGAAGAACAATGCTTGAAATAAGTACTTGTGAAAACTATGTAAGCTTTTAGTCATTAAATGATTCCTAAATGTGGTTTATGCCTGCTCCTTCATTTCCATTTTTCCTCATTCTATGTATTAGCATTGGGATAGGGATTCCTATGTTAAAGCTCCCATTTTACAAATCCCATTATAGGAGTAGCCTTGGAAGAATGTAATTGCTTTTCCCATTCTTAGCCACAGTTATTGCATGTGAATCCCTAGCTACCAATATCACAGCATTCAGCAAGGTGTCAGCATTAAAGGAATAGGTTTTTGCTAGTATGAGGATACTTCTAATG